TCTATATAGTAGTAGAGTATTAGAATTCTTTTTTAAGAAATAGGCTATAGTTACGCTAGTATATCCTAGAAATAGAAGCTTTTTAGCAACTAGTTAGCGGAGTTTCTTCTCTAGATTAGTAACTAGAGTTTTCTTTCTATTAGTAATAAGCTAATTAACCTTATAGACACTAAGGTACCTAATTATAGTGTCTTTTTAACGTACGTTAATTATAAAGATAGCTACGCTAATTATATTAACGTTAAGTCTAGCCTTTAAGTATATTTCCCGTAAAATAGGTAGCTTTTTTAGCTTATAGAGTAACCTAGCAGGCAAGTTAAGATTCTTAAGCTACCTGTCTATCTTGCGCAGGTTTTCTTAAAGCTTCTAGTGTTACAATTCTCTCTTCTCTTATTGTATTACTCTTAGCTTTTCTACTACTAATATTAGAGCGTTGTAGTAATTAGTATTAGCTTAGTAAGCTACTTAAGCTTTAGTAGTAGATTAAGAGAATTATATAAAGATAAACGCGTTACGTTTATAATTAATTAATTAATTAGTATCTAGCTATATTAGTGCGCGCTACTTATAGTTAACCTAAACGTTAACTTCTTTAAGTAGCTTATAACTAATTATTATATTATAGTAGCTAGTGTTATAATATATAAAGTAAGTATAGATTTAATAGCTTTCTAGCACTAGATTAGCTTTAAAATACTTATTTACTTAGCTATTAGGTTACCTATTATACCTAGTAAGAGGGATTAGTTCTATACGTAATAACTTAACATAGAGGTTTTTTCTAAGAGTTTAAAGGTGCTTTAGGTATACTAAGACGTAGCTGCCTACTTCTATATTAATTAAGCCTCTAAGCTTAATAGCAAGGCTATTTATAGAGATTTAGTAGAGTAGAGTAAACGTAGAACTACTAAATAGTTTTTTACGTAGGTTAATTACTCTAGTAGGTAGCTCTAGAAAGAAGACTTCTTCTAGAGCTAGACTTTTTCTAAATTATTAGATTTATATTCTAACGTGTTATTCTTAGGTGCTTATAGCTCTATAGGCTCTATAGGCTTCTCTTCTAGATTAACGTTCTTAATAGCTTTCTACGTAGTAGAAGCTCTAGAGTAATTATAGCTTAGGTAGCTAGGTTAGTAGTATTAAAAATAGATAACTAGCTTCTAGATTACTAGAGCTTTATTAGATGCTAGAAAATCTAAAAGAGCTAGAGGCGCGCGTTATAGTATTAACGTAATTACGTTACGCTTTTTAGCCTTTCTAGTAGTAACGCGTACTTCTCTAGAGATAAGCTCTTAAGTAAGGTCTTAAGTAAGGTCTACGTAGTAATTATAGTTATTAATATACTAACGTTAGTATATACCTAACTACGTACGTATATTCTCTAGTAGCTTCTTATAAAACTTCTCTACCTATTAATCTACTAGAAGCTAGCGCTTTTATATAAGGTAGAAGAAATTATTCTAGAAGTAGGTAAAGTTAGTAGCGCTTTAGTAATAAAGCTTTTAGAAATTATA